TTTTTTCAAGCAAAAGTTGTTTGCTTTTTCACGTAGAATAAAATGCCGTAATAAAAAATATGTATTTCTATCTAAAAAAGCAATGTTGACCTTGTCCTGACCTTGGCGACGTCATCTTAGGTCAAATAACTACTGTTATTAAATGCGACTTTTTAAGCCTTACAACTTTTATTCGAAACATTTTTCTCTAAAATGCTCCCCCGCCGAGTTTTCTTGCCGTTGCCGAACTTATGGGACACACTGTATGCTCTAAGTGTGCGGCGCCCCTAAAGCCTGTTCTACAATATGTCGTATGACGGATTCGGATGTCGGAACGTAATCAATGGTCCAATCAGGAGAACTCGTCTCAAAAAACAAATCCTCTGATTGGCCCATCGGCTGCACTCCGACATACGACAGCGACATACGACATATTGTAAAACAGGCCAAAGGCAGAGAACGAGACGTAAGCGTCATAATCATAGACGGAAAGTAAGACAGAGAAAAACGTAAACGTAAGGCTAATAGTCTTTCATGACTTACGTTTACGTTTTTCTTTGCCTTGTTTTACGTCTACGACTACAACGCTTACGTCTCATTCTCTGCCTTAAGCTGGTCACACATATTTTTCGTAACAGTAACCGTAAGACGTAACGTTAGAATTGACCAATTGCGATCGAGTATTCATAAAAATGGCGACCTTACGATTCGACGATTCTCAACATGATTAGTCAATTCTTACGTTACGCCTTACGATTATTGTTACGAAAAGTGTGTGTGGCCAGCTTAAGCCCTTACAAATGTTTGGTTTATAACAATTATTTTTTGCGCCTATATTCAGTACATGTCAGTAAGTGTATAATAATTGATTTGCATATTTACATATAAATTGTTAAATTTATTGTTATTCACAGTTATTTATATTTTGTGGAATTAATTATATAGTTTTATATAATAGGGCAAAGAAAGGGAATTGATGTTAAAATAGCTTTTCATATATAAAAGGTTCACTTGTATCAATAATAAATAGATTTATGCGAAGTATATTTTATTCTTAAGTTTGTATTCATGTTTCTAAAATCCATATACATATTCTAAGAAACTCAATCGCATTATTTGAAAACCACTTATTCTTTGATTTTGAATTACATATTTGAAAGTGCGCTTCACTTAGATGTGAAACTCAGTTAGAACAGTATATCTCTACGAAAAAGAACCCCAAATTTTGAAGGTTAACTCTCAAATTTGTGGGTTGACCATCAAATTTTAAGGTTGACCACAAAAGTTAGGTATTAACCTTGAAAATTTGGAAGTAGACTCTCAAATTTGCAGGGTAGATCCCAAATGATTTGGTGTCAACTTCTAAATTTTGGTGTTCCTTGATGGAAAAATTTTGCTGAAATTATAATGAAACTTGCTGAAAACGTAATGAAATGTGCTGAAATTTTGCTAAAATCTCAATCAATTGACCCACGTTCATTATCATTTCAGCAATATTCATCGAAAATCAGCGAAATCGTCGTAAATTTCAGCAATATTCATTGAAAATCAACGAAATTTCAGTGAATTTCAATAAGTTTTAATAAAATTCAATAGAAAAGCATTGAAATTTAAAATTAAGAAAAATGTCCTATACAGCACAGTAATGTTGAATCAATTTTCTTCATGTCTTATATAACTGCTAGGGACCGAAGATTATCAAACACACTTTAAAAGTTTTGCGACCTCCCTCGATAATTTCGAATCCGAAGCGGTTATGCCCGGTCACCCATCCATAGGCGTTTTTTCGTTTCGTGACCACGATAAAAGTTTGGTTGGTTGGTTTGGTCCACTTAACATTCGCAATGTCTTGAGCAACAAACATAGAATGACGCTCACGGCGTTGCGAGCGTTAAGTGGACCAAACTAACCAACCAAACGCTACCGTGATTACGAAATGAAAAAACGCCTCATGCCTCACTTTGTTAAAGGTGTGCCTAATTTGACGATTGCGTGGCACGCGGTGATGCCAATGGCTTAGTTTACATTGTGCACTTGATACGTGTACTAAATAGT